TAGCTATTTATTATTAGTATTATTCTTCCGACGTCTGATTTCTTTTTAATTATAGAAAATGCGTTTTTCTAAAGTACATAAACTTTTGGGATTGACTGTATAGTCAATACATCCTTAAAACGACACGAGAATCGTGCGAATGCCGTCGCAAACAGTAGTCACTGTCCAAACAGAAGCGCACGCTGCAGTACGTTCCAAGGATGTTCAAATAATTAATATTAAAGCCTACTTTCAACCGTGCGATATTCAATTACCAGACTGTTTTCGTTCTAACAACACAGCGCACGCGTTTCAACAGACTTGTACGAGATTCTCCGTGGCCTTTTTTGGCATTTCACGAATTTGTATTCCGTTCTTCTACACAATGAATACTAATTTTGGAGAAGATTCGAAGCTAGATGGTGGAGAATAGTTTCCATCGACGTACAATCACGTCAATTTTAACACGGGCCCGTTGAAATCGAGTTAACCACAGTTCACTTCATTGAACCATGCCCGACTACTTTGACAAAATAAAAAATGAAACAATGTCTGACCCAATTTCGGATTCAGCATTGTGCGAATTCGTCTGACACACGGTTGATCCCCGTTTGTCAGATACAGTTGAATTTGAACTCCGAGTGACATTTGCTTCGCAAAATAACAAACGTGCCGTTCGGATGTTCCAACGAGAGAAAATCTGTTAATCTCTTATTAGGCATTTCCCTTTTTTAAAAATGAATTACCTTTGTCCCGTGATAATAGTAACAGGTCAATATTTAAATAGAAATTATTGGCGAAAAAAGAACTAGTAGTATTCTTAGTATTAAATTCCTGATTAATCAAAAATAGTAAGAACGGTATTATCGGGCGGCGCTATTCTAAATTTTATGCATTCTCAATCGACTGTGTATGGTCCACTGTATTCATCTCTTCGACAAAAATAAACTAAAAATGGAAACCAGATGGCGAATACGCGACTGAACGGCTTGTGTCGCGCGTCAAACGTGTTTAATTGCTCGCGAAACTGTGTCGAATAACATGCAAATAATTTTTCACCGTTTTTATTGTCTCCGTACGCGTTCCGAGGCGTACGCCGATTTTGTTCGTTTAAACCGATTCGAAGCGTTCTCGATTAAACTGGGTATCAACAAAACGAAATGAAATTGGATAATTCTCTGTGCGACATAAAAAATGCAACGATGGCTTGGACTTGGAATGAATAATAAATTCGTGGTTCGAGTAGTTCATCAGGTCTTGCATGATTCAATAACTCAAACGTGGTCTAACCCAGTTTATAACAACGAATTATGTGGCCTCGAATTTTTACTGCCGAACTGAAACTTCCGAGGGGCTCTGAATTTTTTATAAGAATTCAGATACTTCTTCTTTTATAACATTGACGGAACAAAACGTGATCAAGTTCAATGCGTTCTCGTCAACGTGAAACCTGGTAGCATCGTGAAATGCTGCGATACACAGCAGGTAATTGACCAGTCGTTGACAGCAAAATGCGATCATCGCCTTGATGACAAATTGTGCCGCGTAACTAGTTAGGATGGACAAGGAAACTCTCAATAAATTGTACAGTTATCAAATCGATAGACCCGCTGGCCTCATTTCTGCTCTGGACACCGTATGTATTTACGTCGATTTAAACAAATATAAACTAACAAAATTGTATAAAGCTTCAATGAAAATTATTATACACCAACGTTAATTTTAAGTTACTATTGCAATTGCATTCTTGAAAGAAGAATTTTCTCAGACAGTAGCATGGCTTCGACAATTTAAACAAATATTAAGTAACAAAATTTGTTTAGAACTTCAGCAAAAATTGGTATAACATTAATTTGCTGTTACTACCGCTGTTACAATTCTATTTCTCGAAGATAGAATTTTCTCAGGTATGGCTACCTGAAATAGGTAGGCAATCCAATAAATGGCAGTCCGTGAAAGCAATTCTCGAAACGAGACAATGCATCGTTACCAAAACGACTATTGGTGCGAATCTCTTGATTCCGCGCAGACCTACTTTAACTGATTATTTCTCAACTATCAAATAAGGAATAGTAGAATAATAGAATATTATTATTTCAGCTTTGATCTCACTGCACTTTTTAAATCAAATGGAAATTTCTATTGTCGTCGTCCGTCTTCTTAGTTCAGGTTAGTTTATGAACGTGTCTTCGTTGTAATTTCCCTGCGGGGGAGTTGCAGACATGTAAATTTCGGCACGACGACACAGATGGATCGCGTTACACCGCTAAATAAAAGTTCTCTTTTGCCAGCGGTAAATTAATTAACGCGCGCTGACGAGCAACGCTAACGCGATATACGAAGGGAATGCGATCAATTATTTGAGGGAGAAAAAGCGAAACGATACACAATGGAATAATAAATCGTTCAACGATGCTCGACCATTAATCACACTGTTACATCGTTGCAATTAGCTATTCAAAACTGGACCACTGCGGAGGCTTTGTGGTTTCTGAAAACATCGATTCTGCAATGTTTTATAACGTCACGGTCCAGTCTATTGTTAACACGCGATAAATGGTTTCAAGTTTTCCAATTTAATGTCTAATTGAATTAAACTGATAATGTTCCTGCTCCCGGAAGTTTATGGAATTCGCTGTATTAGATTATTTTCGGAAAACCTTTTACTGTATCGAATTAAAAGGGTATTTAAATCGCATTGATGAAGCTATTAAATCGAATCAATCAAACTGCGCTATGGGATAAAGTTTCTGTAGGACCGAAGAGTAGTGATAAGTTGCGGTCGGGTAATTAGTCCCAGTGAGATATAGAGCGAACGAGTGACGATCAATTTCGCAAAACCACCGACAAACTTTCTCAACATTCAGCGTTACCTGAAAATTACGCCACACCACCAGAATATTACTCGCAGCAGTCGTATTTCCACTATGTGAATTTTGGGAACGTATTCTACAACGATTATATTTTTTGTAATTATGTTTGAAACTGCTTTTAGTTTGTCAATTTTGTAAATTATATATGCATATGCTTTAATACGTTATTCATACAAAGTTTGTCACTGAAAAGAGAATAGAGTATGTAGGAGTACTGCAATAACTCTACATTTTCTGCAAATCCTGTAGTGATTCTACGTCAATGACACGAGTTCAGGCCCCCATAATTCCTAACGCGGAGCTGCAAACGAGACGCGTTATAAAGTTGGCATTCTACTTTCCTCCATCCCCATTGGGAGCCATGAAAATATGCCACAGCGGGGATTCCTTACCCCGAGGATGCCGGATTTTCAGATTCGGAGTCTTGGAATTTCCACGGAAATTGCTTACGATTTCCACGACTGCGGGCACCCGTGACCCGGATTTTCAGGCGTGGCTCGCATCCGCGTCGCAACCTGGGAATTTTGATATTCGATACGACGCGACGCGTACGTAGCTCCCGGTTTTAAACTTGGAAGAGGCCGCGTGTCAAATAAATGGATAAATTGTCAATCGAGAGAAGTGAATTAATTTGTCATAGAACATAATATCACATTTTTCAATCAATTCTTTTAAGATTATGAGATGTACAAACATTTAAAGAAATGTGAAACTTGTTTAATCATCAGACTAATGAATCTTATTGATTATGAAGCAAATGTGTTTTGAAGAATTGTGCCTAAATACGTGAGAACGAAAAATTCTACATGAGAATTCTATCTCTTGTTTGGCAGATATCTCGATTCGAAATTGCTGGCTTTGAAACTGCATGTCCCGAGGAATGTCCGAAAAGGGAGGTCAGACGCGGCAGTAAATTCTTTGGCTCTCGGAGGTCGATTTTAAAAGCGAGACGGCGCGGGAGATTGGCAGGGAAAAGGGGAAAGAAAATTGTAAAATTAAAGGGACGTCCCCTTTGGGGAATGATTCGAGGGTCCGTACGTGATGCACACCTTTGTCGTCGGCGCGGAACTCCTGCTGAAGTTCTTCCTTGGTTGGCTCCGAGTTTTGTTTGGTCCCCGTCTGCTTTGTCGAAGATTCAGTCTCTTTCATACTCTTCCTGGTGTGGTGGCCGCGGAAAGCCGCTTGTATCCTCGTCGCGGCCTCCTCCCTCTCTTTATCCCCGTTCTTCTCTCCCTTGCTCGCCTCTACCTCCGACTCGGACTCCTTCTTTGACTCCTTACTTTCCTCTTGTTTCGCCTGCGTCTCCTGCGACTCTACTTTCGCCGAATTGGTCTCTGATGCCTTTGGGATGTCTGGAAATTAATAAGAAATTCTCATCAATAGATTGTTATATTTAACAGATAATAAAATTACATAAGCTTTTCGTTTCCTCATTTAAAATCATCGAACAATTTGGCACCGCTTTGAAACTGCAAACATCTCACGAATTCTATCAAGTCATACGTCTCGGTTCATTGGGGCTGTATAAAAGCTACTTGAACGATAAATCTATTATTCACAATGCACGCTCTTAGCTGACGCGCACGTCTCGATGAACGCGCATCGCTAAGAAATTTAATCACAGACTTTGATACGTGCCTGTACATGCGGTGGTACGCGACTCCCTTTGATCTTATGTTTCGCATAACTATTCTGATTAAACTGCAGCTTTCAACCCTACAGGAATAGAGGAGCGTGCTATTCCGGATTTACGTAGAATATATAATTACTTAATATTTCCTACAATATATTAACATAAAAATAAAATGATTTAGACTTTTGTTAGACAGGAGACCACGAAAAAATGATATCTAATATAATTAATAATTTTTTGTACACAGTTATTAATTTTCCTCGTATCCGTCTTAAATTTTTGCATCAAAGGCTGAAGTGTTTTCCTGATTCAGCGAAAAGTCTGAAAAATGCAGGAAACAGTTTTTCCAACGCAGCGCGGCCAAATTTGCCGGGAATTACCCAGGCGAAATTTACAAGTCGTGCCAGAAATAAAGAACACGCGTAGCCTGGCAGGCAGTAGGCACATATAAAAAGAGGAAAGAATGAACTCGCGTAGAAGACAATGATAACAAAGAGGAGCGTGAATCATTGCTGGCGTACCGTTAGTGACACGTAAGCCGCAATACTTCGCGGTTACGCGCGTCTAATTACCGGCTTCGTTGTCGCATTTTTCGTGCGCAGGACCTACCTACCTACCTACCTACCTATTTCTAAGGCGGCACTCGTCTCTTTTTTCCTCGTCTACGCCTCAAGGAATTTCTTTCAAACGCGATACGCCGCCCGATACGAGCGGGTAAAAAGAAAGAACGAACAACACCGTCCGTGAATTAAGGCTACGTAAAAAAGAACGTCGTTCAATTCGCGAAACCTTTTGTCCAGAATTAGGAATTTCCACATTTGATTATTAAATTATTTAAGCAAATCCAGGTAGCAGATTAATAAATAAGTTTAGATATTACAATATAATAAATGTGCTTGCATAAAATGTTATATTCTCTCATTTATATTTTTTATTGTACTGAAAATAAAGTAACACATGAAATTTTTGCAACGTGTAAAAGTGAAGACTTTGAACGACGAATTTTGAGCCACTGTATGTATGTGATAAAAAAAACTGTATGCTGAGCAATGAAATCGTCTAAGCATTGGGAAAATCTATTATACAGAGCAATCGTATTTTTCAAGTCGGACAATAATTTCCAGTGACACGTAAAATATTTCACGAGCCTGCTTTCGCATTCTACTCTGTCCCAGCGAACTGGAGCACGAGTAGAACAGCGCGTTCTTCGTAGATAACGTCTTCGACGGTGAATTACAACGGGCGAGTGGATACCGACGAGAAAAATCCGCATGAAAAAGACCGACGGGGGCATTGAATGGTAACGCGCGACCGCTTTTTCCCGATATCTCCCGATCGCGAATGGTTTTCCTTTATTTCGCATCTCGCTGCCCGTCCTACATAAACTCCTCCCGCATCGGCGGCGTTTCCGCGCTCAAGCTCGGGCTCGTCAAACGCCTCGGAAACCGGGTAGGTACCTCGTGGCTTTTAGTGGAGATAAACGTGGTCCAGTTTAGTAGAAATTCACTGAAACGGTAAGTAAAACACGTCTGCCGCTGTTTGTGTACTCTTACCTTTCCCTAACTGTCCAACGTGATTAAATACATTGGTAAACAATAATTGCAGTGACTCCCGGAAGTCAGTTTTACGTGGGAAGAGAATTTACAATTTGTATCTTTGCCAGAATTTTCAGTAACCCTTTCATCTATTCTATACATTTATTTGCGAAACAATAACAATAATTACAAAAATAAATGTTTTCAAATAATAGAAATACGTATAAAGAATTTAGAACATTAATTCTGTTAAAGAAGTCTACAATATTTGCTGT